TGCAAGTACAGCCTTGGATGCAAAGCATATCAATACTGCGATGTACGCCTTAAAGGGTGATTTTCCACGTACTCATATTTATGTTGGTATAGGTATAGTCCCATTGATTAATTATTTGTGTTGTCAGTACTTGAAGTCCAGCATGATAATACTGTTGATGAATATTGATGTCGTAGTGCTTAACAAGTAGTTCATCATTGGGCAGCAACAAAGAAAACTTAACGTCGATATAGACGTTTGAGTTTGCGAGTTGACTTTCGACGCGAAGAAGCGGTTAATAATCGATGATTTCACCAAGTAATGCAAAAGGCTTCGCCACGTGATAGTCTTTTCTAAGTTCGGCATTTCACTTGTAAATCTATGACTTCAAAGGAGATGAACGATTTGTAATTCTGCCAATTCAAATTTCCTTGCGGGTATAGATTGAGAATTGACTGATGCCCTTTAGTTGTACTAATGTATACGTGGTGATTGTTCTTGAATTACAATTGAACTATCGCTGCTCTAGTGTGAGATTGTACTTGAAATTTGGTGGCTACTCACTAATCTCTATTTACAGGAAGGGTGAACCATTAACCCATAATGACAAGATCAACGCCGCAAATAAACAATCTTGAAACACTTAGTCTGATGCATTTAATGCCGTAGGAATAAATGCCGCCAAGTCGTATCAGTTGATTTTTCTTTTACATTTGCTTCACGATTGTCAGCAAAAACCAGCATTATAGATGATTCGGATTCATTCCCATTTAGAACAAGCTGTGAGTCAGACCAAACGATTATGTTTGTCGTTAAGAACGGTAGTGATTCCCGAATTTAAGACCAGAACGAGGTAACGAATTGCGCGGCACCTAGTTCTAAACGTGGTAAAGATCGCGTTTTTAATGGCTAATGTTTCTGAATGAATCCTACCAGCGAATATGTAAATAACAGCCGTATGCTTTAGAAAATGCATTGCCAAATCCATGAAGTTCAATTTTAGTGGTATTGACAATCTTCGCGTAGTGTGGAACTTGCAGTTTTGATAATTCGAAATCATGTATAATTTTCTGCCAATGGTACCCGATTTCAGATAGCAAAAGTTCCATAACTTTTCCACACAAAAGTCTACAGCTGTTGCAATAATATCTTGACACGTATTGGAATTGGACTAACAAAACCCATTAGCGAGGATATCATTGATGGAATAGATCGTTTTGAAGCTTTTTTTGGGCGATTAGTTTAAGGTTGTATCAGTGCGATGAAATCTTCTGCTCTAGTGGCTATGTTATTCACATGATATCAGTTTATAACTGATTTGCCGACTTGGTTTGAATAAATACTAGATAATACTGAACTGCCTATATATTTTTATGATGTCAACCGACATGGTAACGTCATCAGCAGATCATTTTGAATAGTGGAACCTACCATTAATGTGTCGTTTAATGAATTTGTGATGCGGGAAGATACGATGCGTCAAATAAAACACTGAATGACTGAAATACACAGTGGTATAGTATGCAGAAATGAGCATCGCAAACATTTGGATCCATGAGCAGAGTCACTTTACACCGTTTGGTTGCAAGTTCTTCAAGTTGCCAGAAATTTTCAATGTTTTTGTGCCGAACGCGTCTTTGACTACAATTATTACTGTGTCGAATATAATATTATTGAAAACTCTATAGTTTGACTGTGATAACGTGTGTACAGTAGCAGCTAAAATTGTTGGTAAAGCCTTAGGCTGTTAGACATCTGCTGGCTGAGTATTTTCTGGATAATGTAGGGTTGAATAATGGCGTTGCTTACAAATTCGGCATGTGAAACGAAGTGGTCTTTTATTAGGCAATTGCACAGCTTCTGTTGATTTATGTGGATGTTGTATTCAACCTTTGAACAACAACTGCAAATAACCTTAAACTCAAACTTCGTGGTCATGCCATATCGCTTGGATTTTGAATCAGATTGTGACGATAGAATTCTTGCATTGGGTTTTGTATTAGCATCCAACAGTTAACAGCGTTTGTACAGTATAGAAGAGCATTGAGCCAAAGTTGTTTGATTCGAATAATCCAGACTTTTGTTCCCCTTGCACTCTGTATTAGCACCTTTTGTTTTTATCAATGTTACACTGAAGGACGAAAGCGTCACAGATTTGTTCATTGGTACCAACTGATTTAAGTGAGTTGAAGAGTTCTGACATAGTGTTCACAATATAACGTAGTTGTTTTGCTTCAGCCTTGGCAACGTTTTTTATTAAGTAATTGAAGAAATATATTCTAAGAATATTAGTGCACAATTATCATAGCGCTCCTTAAGCTGGTCAAGGGCCCTTTGATAATTCTCTTCGGTAACTTGGAATGCTTTTATTGTTGCGAGTGCATCATCACTTAAGCAAGACAACAGATAGTTGAATTTCTCAATCACTTAATATACATCATATACAGCTCATCAATTTCAGCCAGACTAGTGCTTGAAGGCATCAATTTTTTAATGTGAGGTTGATAATATCATATTATATGATTTGATAAATCCAATTGTATATTTCAATTCAAAAGGTGTTAAGAAAGGATTTGTTTCTAAAACATTTTTAATGCATTTATACTCCTCAATTGTAGGTGATTGCTGTTCAGTCACACCTGTTTGAGTAGATCTTGAAGAAGTATGGTCATTTGGATTGCTCGTTGTGTGATAAAATACGCGAAAATAAGTTGAAGAGATGTCAGAATATGTTGCGGCATTGTAATTTGCGTTTAGAAATTTGATGTAGCCTGGCAAGTGAAACCTTCGACGAACGTTCTAACAGCAAAGAGTTAGGTCCAACGAATAGAAAAGGCACACCTTGTAGTATATTGTTTAATTTTATCTGGATATATAATTAAAATAATTGCTAAAATTGGTAATTTATCAGTTGTCCTATCAGTTGACACCTTTACCTGCATATCATATTAGTAGACAGATGCCCCACATATCTCTCCATCTGTAATTAATCCTATTAAATATTGCAGAGTTACTTGTTACCAACTTTTCCTGGTTGAGAGTGTTTCCACAACTACCTTCATTTTTACCTCTCCAGAGTTACTAGTCTTTACATGACTTTTCTGGTTGAAATTCTAGTTTAACCATACGAGATAGATGTCATGTGGCCTGAAGTTGATCTAGAAACTTTATTTTGAAATATTTACTTTGCATATGTACTAGAATTAACATAGAAAATACAGGTGTAGAACGGAGAGCAAACAAAAATTGCTAAAATCAACAGCCAATTCTGTCGTACTATATGGAAGCGAAATATTGGCTGATTTGCTGAAAGTATAATAAAAATATAAGTAGAACAGATATAACAACAAAGATAATACCATCTGAGGAAAACCATAGACTGATTAGCTAAGATCATACTCCAACGGAAAAAATATGATCTTTAATCTGATTGATTTTGAAAAAGAAGTAAACAAATAAACTTAATCGAGACCAGGACGTAAGCTGACGAAGAAGAAATTCTAATAAATTTCTGAGATAGAAACGATTTGGCACACAAAGAGGATTGTATTTAGTTCGTGCAAACCGGGCTTACTGCTAAAAAAATTTGTACTAGGGAACATTTACAATAGATCTGGAAACTTATTTTGGAATATTTATTGATTATTAATATATCTTCTCAAAACTACAATGTCAAATACGTTTACTTTATCGTTTAAGATGTTGAGACCCATAAATATTTCTCTAATATATGTACTTTGATTCAATTGCTCAAATGCTCTCTGGTAAGAATTACTTTAACTGATGAGTATTAGAGGTTTCTGCTAGAACTACAGATAAGTTGAAACATATTACTTGTCTGGACTAGAGATCTTCCTCTTCAAAAGTTTCAAAAGACAATCTTCATTAATTTGATCAAATTAATTGTTCGATATTGTCAAAATTCTGTGAGACTTCACTTTCTTCTTCTTCTTCTTCTTCTTGAGTTAGTGCTATTACGCACTTTTTATAATGGCTGGGGTTATTCACTACTAATCCATCTAGGCTTTATAGCTAATCATATATTTATTGCTTTAGTGATGAAGACCTTAATCAGCATATCATTCCTGAGGTCCAGAATGGATTGATGGTTTGTTCTTTTACGCAGTAATTAGACTGCACTTCTGTATGGATGTATTTAATATGCAAGCTCAATCAATCTTTAAAGCATACAGTATAGCTCAACCTGGCCTTAAGAGAAATGTTTAGATTCATTAATTAGATAACGACTACATACGAGATCTTAGGATTGACTCAGTGAAATATATCAGAGATCAGAGCTTTAATTATTTCACTTATAAAGTTACTTCACTTTATTATTTCTTTATTAATGTCAATTTGTAATGTCAATGCTTTTATGTAATTGAAATAATTTAATACTGCTTTATCGACACGCATGATGTGATGTAAGAAGATATTACTTCATATAATATATATAACATAACATATACAAAATTCTATATCTAACAAAACTCATTGTGTTAAGTTGCTAAAATAAAAAGCTACATATAAAGTTAAGTCCATTTTAAGGAACAAAAATTGAAGTTCCAAATGAATTTTCACTCCAGACAACCTGTCAGAATTTATTACTCAACCTTAGTAGGCCTTGCAAATCACAAATATTTGATATACCAAATAAAATTCAGATTTTTTCTAGAACAAAATTAACTTTGTCGAAATCTGTTTCAGGAATTTAGAGACTAGTTTTCTTGAATCAAATAAGTTTAAACGCTTAATCTATAAATTAATTGCAAATATGGCATCAAAGTGCAGTGTAAGTATGGATAGCAATAATAGTGAAATTAGATAACCGATTTGTAATGATTTGTGTTTCTAAATTTTCAAAGCAATTGCTACGTGTCGCTGCTATACGTAATGCATTCGTCCCCCCTGCACGCTTTGCTGCTAAAAAGTCTAATGACCAGTTGACTCCTGAGGAAAAGATCAAGTGTCTGCAATACCGCTTCCAACGTGATGATGGTCTTCCGGTTTGGTTGAAGGGTGGTCCTAATGACAAGTACTTGTACCAGGCAACTTTGGGACTTTGCGCTCTTGGATTGCTGATGAACTTTCATTTGTACTTTGGTTACATTCTTTAAAATTCTTTATGGATTTATCGAAATTCTGGCAATGTAGCAATTGTTTGGAAATTTCGAAAAATGTTTGTTTTCTACAAACTTATTCACATTAAAATAAACGTTTGAGAGCTATTAATCAATATATTCCTTTTTTTTATGGGTGTAATTTATGTCCCTAAAAGACTTTACATAGTAGTTATATGCCAATCGTACAGATTACTTTGACAAAATATATTACTTTGAAAAGACTATATTATACCGGGCTTTATCGATAGTAAAAACCTGATTTGATCTACCGTTTTCGTATGACATTTTTGTTATATATTTATAATAATATAATTTATCGTGTTTTACATAGCCTATGATAATCCTTAGAACCTGTTAAACTGACGTATAGTCAATTATTTTTTTTCGGTTCGAAAGGTCTGGTTAATGGTTCTAAATGAGCGCTAGAAAAAACCTGCTTTTAACCAAAACCAAAATAAACCATATATATTCTAAATTTTGATATTACCACGACACAGTTTAATTCGATGATACTTTATTAAACGAAAATTGCAAATACCGAAATAAAAAATTCAATAATGTTACAGCATATAATATTTAAGATATTGGATATAACAATATAATAATTAAAAATTGATTGACAATTGTATTTAAAATACTTGTATTTAACATGCTTCCCCATTGAAAGATTGCGTTGAAATTGACTGAAAGTAATGCCAACTTTGAAATCAGTCGCTTTAAAGTAGTGTTTGCGATTTTAATCTCAGCTACTCGGACATGTCCGTCAACGCCGGAAAACGTTGCTTTGCTATCTCTCATTGGACCAAATTCTCTTCTTATAGAACAACCGTGTCACCACTTTGTATGTTATACTTAGTTCTTTTACAGCAATACAGATTTCGTAAAACTGCTAGATCTTCTGCTAACTGCCATCACCAAAAGTGGGTCTTACGAGCAATGATTTTCTGCCAATACTACATATGAAATATTTCTGATGACATATATATTGACTCGTTCTGGTATATGAGTGAATTTTTTGTCAGCCACGATGTTGACAGCAAAGTCAAATACAATACATCTCTATATACAATACTGGTATTATTGACTGGTATTATTTTGATTCAGATAATCAACCCATACAGGAGTTAAAAAGTTCTTTTATTTTATTACCATTAAGTTAAATCTTCCATTTCTGAAAGTAAATAACTATGGCGTCAATGTGCACATATAAAAAGTTAGAAGTCTTATACGGCATTTATACTGGCCTCAAATGGCTTATTTTGGTCAAAAATTAAAAATGAGAAGCAAATGACTTATTTTTGCATACAAAATCTCAAGCGAAAATGAGGTCCATTGGATCTCATTCTGTATAAATGAGTTTCAAATATATTCCAAATGGAAATTAATACATTAAACATACCTAAATAAAAGCTTTTCATGTCATTTTAAGAAAGCTGTCTTTGATATATTTACAAAAAAAAGTTAACAAATGTTTGGTGGTTGTATTTTCTTGAAAACGATGCACCACTTTTTGGAGCTTCTACTACCCAAAAATAAATTAATTGAAGCTAAAAATAAGTTTTTAGTTTATATTGTAAGGTTTGAAGGTATATTTAACCTTCATTCTGAATTTTTTTAGCACAGAACAAAAATCAAATCAACAGGCAAGTCGAAAATCAGCTGTTTTAAATGAGAATAAATGAATTACAACGAATGTAAACACTTTCAAATAACTCATTTAAAATGCGTCATTTTCAGCCAGTGTAAACGCCATATTAATTTAAACTACATCAGAACGCAGAATGTGTATTCATTTGCACGAATTGGGTTTCATTTCTCGAATGTCAGCGATTGTTAAGCGATACAATATCACAAGTGGCAACCCTTAACCCAAACATATGATGTCTGTATTAATGATATTATTTAACATATGCTATTCAAGCAGTGCTTCTAAATCAGAATCTGGATATGTTTAACCTTCATTCAGCATAACTTTTTTTTCTATATACTTGATTTTCATTAATGCAAAATGCATTAAAGAAATAACTTCAAAACAATTGTACTCAAACCAATTTACTTTCATTAACCACACAATGAGTTGGAAATGAAACAGATTAAGTAAGCAGCCATTTGCTTACTTGGAAATACAGACATATTTACAAAATATTATTAGATATTTCAACTGACGTGTCCAGTCGAAAAAGTTAATTACAGCAAATTTTCAACATGTCATGGTCGAGCATTGTCCAATTTTAATTTTAGCAAAAAATTCATCCAAATCTCATTTGGTCTCATTTGGTAACCACTGCAAAAAATGTTTGCAACTTTGAATTTGCAAAAAAAAAAGAGTGAAAAACTGAATAAATCCGCTGCGGTTAACGTGTGGGAATGCAAGTCTTTTAATTATTCAAGCGACGACACAATGCGCTTTGAAGTGGGGACGAAATAAGTGAAAAATTCACAATTGAGGAAAATTAATTGAAATTGGCACACTTTTTGATTGGAATATCCATGCCATGGTAACTTTATGAATATGACTGGTGCCCTCCGGTCTTTGTTGGTATCCGATGTGCTTTGATTTATTTACTCATAAATTTTTATTTTTTTTTTTTATAATTTAAATTTTATAATTTAAAAATTTTAAATTTTATAACACAAATGTTGATTTCATTGTCTTATTTACAACAAAAACACGTGGTGGTCTTGATGCACTCTTATCAGTTCAGTTCTTATCAGTTGCATGCTTCGGAAGCCTTTGCTTTACATAAAATGGTGAAATATTAACAGCGAATTAACATTGTGAATTATTCTGTTAACATTCCTTATTTTAAGTAAAGGTGGGGTAGGTTCTCTCTTTCCGTAATGCGCATGTATTGGAATTCTATGTTTTTATTGCAGAAGCAATAGAGGTCTGGTGTAGTTTTTAAACTTGAAGTCGTTTAGTGCTTGAAGCAATGCGTTCTAATGCGTTTATGTTTGGAGCAGTGGCTTGCAGGCCTTTTTTTTTGAGATATAAGTTTATTTTACGTACTGTAATTTTATATATAGAAAAAAAAAATATTGTTTATTAATTAAACAATAATTAAACTGGTAATTAACGTAGTTGGGTTTGTTTAATTTGAAATCTTTTTAGAAATAAATATTTATAAACAAAATATTGTTCAAATTATGCATGCAATTGCATATTTTAACTGTTCTAGCATTGAAAAAAATATTATATATAAATATAATGTTGAGCATAATATATGATCAATTTTAAACCTACCTTAAACCTACCTGAAACCAAATAACAGATTTATTTGAATAAAATACAAAAAAAAAAATAAAAATAAAAAATCACTGTAATCTGATATCTACTCTAATTAAACGGATTATTTTGGGTCCAATATGTTTGTGCTATGCAGTTTAAATAATCCCGTTAGCACCACTGATGCAGCATTTTTTTAAGCGGGACATCCCATTAGGTTATAAATCTGAGCTACAAATTTTGTTTATTTTTTTTATTTATAGTTTAATAAATTTTATTATTTGCATATTGCGTTGAGCAAACAGTTACCATTTTTAGTTAAATTTAAATACATTTTTTATATAAATTTTTTTAATATAAATATTGCAATTTTTTTAACCAACAGCTGGCATATTTTGAATAAAATCATTGTTAAAAATTACTGAGTTTTTTCTGTGATAAATTGACACAGGTGTGTTTTATAGCCATTTGATGAAGTATAAAGTATTTTTTTATCAGTTAGAAAGTGTCACAGAGACAATAGTTTGAAGTTGAAATATCAGGACTATATGTCTGTATCTAAATAATGGTTATGCAAAAATAAAACTAAATAAAATTAGTTAGTGTTGAAAATGATTTTTTCAATACATTTTTTTTATTAAACTGTCAACGTTGTTTTCATCATCTTCTGCCATTTTTTAGCTAGAATCATTGTTCAAAGCCACAAATTTTTTAATCTTTAATAAGTTGTTAATAATTATATACATAAATTGTGTAGCATTTTATTATAAAGTGTGTAGTAGAGCCGACAATTTGTTACTGCAGTACCAGTTTTAAATTAGAGCGTCTTAGAATTTCCTCACCAACTTCAATTCTTATCAGGTGCTGTTAACAACTGATAAGAACACATATATTATATTACTTTTTAATTAAAAAAATAATGTTACTAATATCTGTTAGAAATCGTCGAACAAATTTATTAACGCAATATTAAGTCTGACCACACGCACTCCAGTGTTGCAAGTTGTCTTAAATCGAGTTGATAACATTTGAATGCCAGGGTTGCCATTTATTCTTTGATGCCTGATATATGTGCTTTAATATTGTTATAATAGAACAAAATACATTTTTTTATCAACAACTTCGCACTGTTTCTGTTTTTTTTTTCACTACTTGAAACCATCGCAATACTTTCTAGCAATAAGACAGTTAAGAATTAGTAGCGTACAATATACGAAAGCCTTGGGATCCTATCAAACTCCAATTATAATACCACTGGGAGACTTATTGGTGAATACACAGCTAAATTTTTGAGTTTTAATAGCAAACCTTAGTTAATTATGAACAGCAGTGTCAATTCCTGAAAGCAGAAATGTGTTAAGACGTTAAGTACTTGTCTGGGAGATTCGAGGTTAGTTAAATGTTTCATTAAAAATTTCTAAATAAAAATGTAGCTTGTTTACTTATGATCAGAATATGTCTCGTAGAAAGAATTTTTTATTACTGATTTGAGTAGGAATTACTTACTATTTTCCTTAATAAAAGCTATTAAACATTTCATGCTACGATAAGAAATCGTCTAATTTTGTTAATAATATAGCGCAGATGGAAATCTCAATTTATAGAACTTGTCGGTAATATTAGGTTAATTCTTTGTGGGAAAAATTATATATTATTAATTATTAAATGAAGGATAGTGTTTAAAGCACATATATATATATGTTAATAGGGAAATTTTCATTATTTTGGAATGAGGAATTTATCAAGTAAAATATAATATATGATCAATATATTATGCTACAGAGCTGATTAAAAAACTCTGAATCAATTGGAATGTGTTTCTAATAATAAAAATTCAACCCATCAAAAACCAAAGTAAGTAAAATCGACTACAATCAATTAGATGTG